TTGCCAAAGTGGAGCATAAAGTCAAAATACCCAAATAAAATACCGGACTCGGTTAGACAGATGGCAAGCGAGAGTAAAGTTAATGAAAACGAATCAAATTAAATAAATAAAATGCAGTATAAAGTTTGCAGTTGCCAGGCTAATACATACATTTATGTCCTTTTGTACAGACAGGAGCCTAGAACTGGCCAGAAAACAACACAATTTATAGAGGCATTTTCCAGAAATAAGGTTTCAATGTCTATAGTTTTCTTACCAATTTCTGTTTTTAATAAAGGTAGTTTATTGATAATAAATTAAAAGTTTATTCAATTAAATGGTTATTAAATATATGTTAGGGCTTTTTAAGAGTTTTAATAAAACGTATAATCAAATTTTTCTTATTTTATATTGAATATTTTACAAATTAAATAGCAATAGGAGGAGAGAAAGAAATGGCTATGGTATGATGGTCTTTTTATCTTAAAGTCTTGTAGAATCTAGAATGTATTTCTCTTTCTTTTAAATATATATTTTTATCTTTATCTAAGGGTATAGCTTCTTCATAAAAATTCCCCAAATTTTTCATCAGATTTATAATGGTAATATTTTAAGCATTTTAATCATTTTAACTCTCCGCCCCTCGTATCCCCCAGTTAAGCATTACGCCAAGCATTTGAGTTTAATTCACTTTAAGCGCCAAGACAAAATAGTGTAATTAATTAAATGCATGCACTTTATGCCAGCAGTAGTCGACTGGGGGCGTCTTCATTTAGATGTTGTGGCTGGTGGGGGTTTGTTGGATTTGTGGATGAAAGGAGGTGACAGAGGGGGCCACCAGACGTTTAAGCCAAAACCACACAATCAGCTAAATAGCAATCGCAGGGCCAGTTGTTTGGTATGCTGACGGGTAAGGCGACGAAGGGGTTCAGGGGTTGCAGGGTCGCTGGGGTTGGAGGGTTTGTGGGGTCACGGCTAAAATCTAGCATAGAAGGCGTCAAGTGACATCGACACCCGAATGTCAAACACCTGATTCGGCGGCAGCGATGCCAACGTCAACTTCATTTCGCCAGTTTAGTTGTTAAGTGAGCGAGAGCGTTGGCCGGAAGTGCGGAAGTGGGTGGTGGTAGTATGGGTAGTATGGCGGTGGTGGCGGGGAAATTAATTGACACTATGCCAAAATGTTTGCCAATATTATTGGCAGCGGAAATTGTTGGTTCAAGATCGCCGAAATTGAGTGAGTAAATGGAGTTGGGTTTCGAGTCTCCTCTTCCTGCCAAACTAATTAAAGGTGATTGCCAAATGATGGTGACTGCCGGGAATGTCGGCTTCTATTTGGCTAACAAGTCTCAGCGATGATTGGGATGATAAATTACAAGAAATACAAGTATATTGTTTACTAGTACTCGTACTAGTTTCTTACATTTTAAAAAACATGTATTTTATTTGAAAATTGTTAAGCTTTTATGATTAAACAGCTGAAGCTTTGGCAAAACCATGATTCCAATGAAACGCTCTGTTTCATTTCGCATTGCAAATGTAGGGATATAACAATGTCCCTGGAGTAAAACACCAACACTTTCCTTATTCTAGTTTATTTATTATTGACTAGATCCGCTTCGGATCGCTGCTGGTGTTCGACTGACTCCGCTCTCAACTCGTGATCAGCATCAACCCTCATTGCTCGCTGAGAGAGCAATGAGAGCGATGGGAGCACGAGAGAGAGAGAGCCAGAACCGACAACAGCCAACGACACCGACTTACACTAATAGTTTACAGTTATACAATACACTTATAGCTAATATATATATACCCTAAGTAGCAATCCTGCTACAATTCGGCCGTCCTGACATTTAAAGATCCCCTGATCTTGTGATATTTTACAATTGATTCTTACATCTATTTGACTTAGATACTACTAATTATTTATTTACAAAAGTTTACATAATATTTGAGCTTTATCTTCGTTTACCTATCCAATGTTTAATGTTCTGACTACTCCAAACACCTTGATATGGAATACGTGACAATTGAAAACCTTCAACATCCTTAATTAAATACCTGTCATTTCCTAAAATTTTGTCTATTACAAATGGACCCTTATGTTTGGGTATTAACTTTCTTGCAACTCCAACAGTACAATCAAAATTCTTAACCACGATATAATCTCCTACCTTGTATTTTGAACTCGCTTTCCTTTTTTCATTGTAATTTCTTTCATTGTCTTTCTGCAACTTTGTTTGACACTCTGTTCCTTTTTTCCTAATTTCGTCTAAATTCCTAACATTATCAGTATTATCTAATTCTTCTAACTTTTGCCTTAATTCATCTATAATTTTTCCTTTTTGTGCAATTCCAAATAACATTTTGCTCGGCATTTGCTCAATGCTTCTCTGCTTTGTATTGTTCAATGAAAACTCAACATCCTCAATAACTGTATCCCAATGCAATCCCTTTTCTGAGTCTGCCAATTTTGCTATCATCGGTCCTAATATTCGATTAATTCTTTCCACCTGCCCATTAGCTTGAGGTGACCCTGTTGCTATTTTTACGTGCTTAACATTATATTCTTCGAGAAATTTTTGAAAATCCTCAGATGTGAAACAACTGCCCCTATCCGAGACGATACACGTCGGTCTACTATATGATCTAAAATAATCTTTCAATGCTATAATAACTTCCTTTGTATTTGTTGTTTTTGTTGCATATAACCTAACATATTTTGTAAACCCGTCTATGACGACAAAAAGATGTTTATTTGCCCTTCCCTTATCCACTGGCCCGTAGTGATCAATATGTATGATCTCAAATGGTACATTCCCTTTCGGAATGCTGTGTAATAATCCTTCTCCTTTTCCTGACTTTGGTGAAAACGCTACACACCTCAAACAATTATCAATATGCCTAACAACTTTCTCTTTCATATTTGCAAACCAATACGTCCTAACAATTGCATCCATAACCTTATCTCTACCTAAGTGACCTAACTCATTGTGATATTTATACAGTATCTTGTCTTCCATTTCTTCTGGAACATAAAACAACAATTTTCCATCATTTGCTTTCCTATACACTACTCCATTTCTCATCTCAAACATTTTGTCATCTTCTTTTTCTAACCTCATTCTAATTTTCTTTAACTTTTCATCTTTCGCTTGGCATATAACTAAATTGTCTTCAAAATTCACCGTTTCTACTACACATATGTTCGTATTCCTACTTAAGGCATCTACATGTTGCATAAGCTTTCCTGCCTTATGAACTAACTCAAAATCATATTCAAGTAACTCTAAAGCCCACCTCGCAATGCGAGGGTTAAGTTCTATTCTGTTTAACGTCAATGTCAATGAATTACAATCAGTAACAATTCTAAACCGCCTACCTTGCACATAAATTCGGAACCTTCGTAGAGCATAAATAATGGCTAACGTTTCAAGTTCAAAGCTATGATATTTTGCTTCATCCTTCGTTGTAGCTTTGGAAAAATAAAATATAGGATGCAATTTCTTATCCTCTTTCCTCTGTAATAGTACTGCACCAAAACCATGTGCACTTGCGTCTGTATGTAGTTCTACTTCATCCTTATAATAATATAAACCTAATACCGGTGCTTCTATGAGTTTCTTCTTTAGCATTTCAAAACAATCTAACTCTTTTTCTTCAAACACGAATTCGCAATCTTTTTCAACAAATCATATAATGGTTTTGCAATCCTCGAAAAATCCTTTATGAATCTTCTAAAATATGAACACAATCCTAAAAAGCTTCTAACTCCATGCACTTTATTGGGGACTGGAAAATCTCTGATGGCTTCAATTCCTTTATCGTTTGCTTGTATTCCTTTGCTCGACACCAAAAACCCTAAGTACTGAACACTCGCTTGTAAAAACTCACATTTATCCATTCTTAGTTCTAATTTGTTCCTTGCTAATCTTTCGAAAACTTCTTTTAGTACACTCAAATGCTCTTCAATTTCTTTACTTGCGATCATAATATCGTCCATGTATATAACCACTTTTCCTTCTCTTATCATGTCTGCAAAAATCTTATTGATAAATCTTTGAAACACCGCCGGTGCGTTTTTTAGGCCCATTGGCATCCGCATAAATTCGAACTGTCCTAACGGCGTCATAAATGAAGTATATTTAATTGATTCTTTCTCAACAAATACATGAAAGTATCCATGTTTAAGGTCTAATTTCGAAAATATTGTCTTATTTACTAATGTGTCCAATAAATCATCAATTAAAGGTAGTGGATAATTATCTTTAATCATTGTCTTGTTAAGCTTTCTGTAATCCACACATAATCGCAAATCACCTGTTTTTTTCTTGACTAACACTATTGGAGATGCATATTCTGATTCGCTCGGCCTAATAATTCCCTCTTTTAAATACTCGTCTAATATGCTCTGTAACTTTTCTCTCTCTGTATACGCTAACCGTCTCGGAGAACTACTAAAAGGTTTCGAGTCCTCCAACCTCAGCTTTATTTCACACTTAACCTCTGGTTCCCTTGGTCTTTGTTTATTGACATAAAAATTTTCTATAATTTTAATAAATTGCTGTCTAACCTTATACTCAACTTGTTCACCAATTTTGTATTCTACCGATTCATCTTCAATATTAATATTCATCAATTCTTTTTCCACTTCATTTATGTCGAATTTCGTTGCTTCTTGTAACCTAACTGCATTTCTAATCTTTTGTTTAACATTAACATCACTAACTATTTGCTCTTCATCACTAACATCATAACTGTCTTTAACATTTTCTAAATTTTCTACCGTAACCATCTTCAAGGTGTCAAGGTTCAGATTCAAATCACATGCTTCCATAAAATCTCTTCCCAGAACTACATCATGACTCATAGATTTGTTTGCCACAACAACTAAATGAAAATGTACTTTATTAAATTTTTTCTTTATATAACATAATATTCTGCCATAAGTTTTCAAATAACTTTCATTTATTCCATGATATGAACTTAAAACTGGCATTTTACAAATATTTTCTGGTACTTTAGATATTTTGATAAACGAAATTGGGCTCCCTGTATCTATGAGGCATTGTGTAATTAGTCTGGTGTTAGTGTTATTCTTAAAGTAAATTTCAAAATACCTTACATAAATGTTCTTGACCTCGCTCTTAACTTTGTTCTTTAGGCACTTCGCCACAAAATGTCCCATCTCGCCACACGCATAGCACGATCCTTTCTCTCGTCTTGGCTTCCTGCACTCCTTCGCCCAATGTCCTTTAGCATTGCAATTATAGCAACGCGTGTCCTTGCTGTCCTTCTCGTTCTTGTTCTCTGTTGCATCCTTTTTGTCACCATTATATTTAGGCAACTTCACCTCCGCAAATGCACGTTTGATGTGTGCAATATTTTCAAAGCACTGAATATGTGCCTGATTTTGAAGCCCTTGATTAGGGATTCCTTCAATGATACGACTTATCATCTCCTCTGTATCTATGTCGATTCTCTGGCCAAGCATCACTTTATCGTCCACGTAACTTCCAAAACTTTCACCGGAACTCCATTTCCGGTTCTCGAATTGACGCCTTGCTTCTAACCTCGAAACTTTGTCCGAAAACATTGAAATTAGCTCACCGGTTAACTCCTCCAGCTGTAGCATGATGCGGTCAGGGTTCGCATGTAGCCACACGTTTGCCTTTCCTTTGATTTTACTAATCATCAGCATTTTAATGTATTTTCCACTAACTCCATAAATGCTTGCAATATTTTTCATTTGCGTAATCCATTTTCGTGCGCAAGTTTTGCCCGAAAAATCACTCACAACTTGTGTTGCCATGCCCAATGCAATGTCGATGCTTGGGTTGTGAAATTCCAAAACTCCGACTTTGCAACGTTGCCTCTTTTCACTTCTTCAGTGGCGCCTTCTTTTGCGCCGCTTCTGCCGGTTTCATTCCTGTCATTGCGTGCATGATCTCCATCTTTGTCTTCTCCCTCGCCGCCGTCGCTGTTGTTGTTTTCGTCGCCGTCGTGATCGTTGTTTCTGCCGCCATCGCTGTTGTTGTTTTCGCCGCCGTCGTGGTCATTGTTTCTGCCGCCATCGCTGCTGCTGTTTTCGCCGCCGTCTTTGCTGCTGCTCTCGCCTCCATTTTTGCTGTTTCTTCTGTCTACGTCCTTTCCGCTTTGATCGCCGCCAACTTTACTCTTATTTTTATCACCATCTTTTCCTTTAGTTCCACCTTCGTGTTTGTCGTTTCCTTCGCCTCTGACTTTTTCGTTTTCTTGGACTCCAGCTTTGTCGTTGTTGTTGCCTCTGTCTTCGTCGCCATTATCGTTGTCATTTTCTTGGCTTTCTAATTCCAGATCCTCTTCATATTCGTCTTTATCGTTGTTTCCATCGCCGTCTTCGTCTTGATTCCTAATTGCTTCCAGATAATTACGCGTTTCCGTTGACATTTTATCCAAACGTAATATTAATTCGCTCTTCGTTCCCGTTGTTGGTAGCCGTAACGCACTTAACCACCGTTTTAATTGCGCAATTGATGCGTTGCTAACATCCATTTTGATTATAATTAATTGTCATTAACTGTTTATTTGGCACGAGATCGGCCCACTTCTGATTTTGTAGGGATATAACAATGTCCCTGGAGTAAAACACCAACACTTTCCTTATTCTAGTTTATTTATTATTGACTAGATCCGCTTCGGATCGCTGCTGGTGTTCGACTGACTCCGCTCTCAACTCGTGATCAGCATCAACCCTCATTGCTCGCTGAGAGAGCAATGAGAGCGATGGGAGCACGAGAGAGAGAGAGCCAGAACCGACAACAGCCAACGACACCGACTTACACTAATAGTTTACAGTTATACAATACACTTATAGCTAATATATATATACCCTAAGTAGCAATCCTGCTACACAAAGGATTTACAAAAAAACAAGAAAGGAAAGCTAACTTCGGGCGGAGCCGAAGTTAATATACCCTTGCAGTTAAAACCGGATATATATCGCAAACATCGTATATAGTTGGCCGATCCTTATGAGAATATGATAATATAACTCAAGTTATTATTATATAGAATCTAAAAAAAACCCCAAATTTCTATTTCCAAAATACCAGAGTTGGTATTTCTACCAAAAACCATTTCCGATCGTTCAATTATATGGCAGCTATAAGATAAGCCGGTCGTTATAAAATTTGGTAGGTCGGATTAACTGACCAAAAATATAATCTGTACCAAGTTCCAGCTTTCTATATTCAAAAACACAAAAGTTGGGTCAATTCCGATCGGTCAGTTGTATGGCAGCTATAGGATATAGTCGGCCGATCCTTATGAAATTTGGTAGGTCTAATTATCTGACCAAAAGTAGTATTTGTACGAAGTTTAAGATTTCTATCTTCAAAAACACGAAAGTTGGGTTATTTCCGATCGTTCAGTTATATGGCAGCTATGGGATATAGTCGGCCGATCCTTATGAAATTTGGCATGTCGTATTATTTTGCCAAAAGTAACTCTCATGTCAAATTTGAACTCTCTAACTTTAAAAACACCAAAGTTATACCATTTCCGATCAATCAGTTATATGGCAGCTATAGGATATAGTCGGCCGATCCGGGCCGTTCCGACTTATATACTGCGTGCAAAGGAAAGAAGGGTGTGTGCAAAGTTTCAAGACGATAGCTTTAAAACTGGGAGACTAGTTCGCGTAGAAACAGACAGACAGACGGACAGACGGACAGACGGACCGACGGACAGACGGACAGACGGACATGCTCATATCAACTCAGGAGGTGATCCTGATCAAGAATATATATACTTTATAGGGTCGGAGATGTCTCCTTCACTGCGTTGCACACTTTTGGACAAAATTATAATACCCTCTGCAAGGGTATAAAAAATGGTTACAAAAAAAATAGTTTTTATCGACGAGCGTGCAGCATCAGGAGTATCCACAGTGCCATGGCATTGCACTTTCCCACGTGGACTTTTCCCTTTAATCCATTGACCAATAGACGCACCACGGCCAAGTGCTATTCCCCTGATGCGAGGCCTGCCCGGAAACCGGCCTCTCACCCCGCCAGCCTCGCCAGGCCGCGCCAGGATGCCAGGACATCGAAGTGGAGAGGCATGGAATAAAAGAGGTTGGGATGTCGGACTGATATTAACATGCGACGGCTGCTGCAACTCAGCGCAGCTGACAAAATGGCCAGTTGGCTTATGGCCAGCTGCCGGCCGTCCATCCTGCCCCATTCCTGCCACCTTCCTGCGCCCAACCCACACCCCCTAGAATTTCCACTGGCAGGCAACTGGCTTCCTGTAAGTGATCAATGTTTGTCTATGCTCTGCGGTGTGCCAAAAGCCTGGCCGGCTCCAAAAAGTATGCAGCGCGCCATCGCCACTGGGCACTGGTCATTTGTTTGCTGCTGCCGCTCCCAGGAGATCCATCCTGCCCTCATTCCCCCGTACTCCCCCTGTACCCTCTGTTCAGCCCCATAAGCCCCAAAAACCTTAGCCATCGTGTTGCAGAAATTGCCTTTGTAAACATGCATAAATTGTTGCATACTTTTGGGCTGGATGCGCATCGAGTTGCACTCGCCATGCCTCTTCCTCGCCAGCACGCCCCTAAGTTACAGTCGCCGGTCATTGCTTAGCCTGTGATTATGTTTGTAGAGCCTGTTAGGCGCCCCCACCCCTCGCCGTACTATCCCCCAACCTCTGGGCCACCATTGCTGCTCGTTAAGTGCCTGTGACTTATTTGCCTTGTCACTGTGTGAGTGTGCTTGGGTGGGCGGTTGCCCGCAAGTGGCCTTTAAAAATTTACAAAGACGAGCTCTTCAGTTGATTGCGTTTTAAATGCTTGTATTGAAATCGCCCTTACCGGTCAATTGGCGAAGCAATTATAATTGACTCACTTCTTGGGAGAATAATCTGTTATTAGTATTAAAGAAACATTTCATGATTCAATAAATTTCATAAATTAAGCTTATTAAGCATAAAAAGCTTTTATAGAAAAGGATACCTGATTCTCTTTGAACAGATTCTTTAATAATTTATAATAAATAAACATTTGACATAAAGAACACTTTAAATAAAATAGAACAGGAAATAAAGCATAAGCTTGTTTAAATTATAAAATTTTTATTAAATATTCGTCCTTTAATTGCTAGCTTTTCCCCTACCTATTAACACTCTGAATATACATATATATATATTTTTATATACTCATGGATAATACTTTCTTAACTCGCTGCCATTCTCTCCTTTTATCTTTAAAGTTTGCCTTAACTTTTGTCAAACCCCACCTGATGATGCTTTTTGGTTATAACGGCGAAGCTTGGAACTTCCGTTTTGTTACCAGGATATACCTAAGAAACTGTATATGTATGTTTGAGTGTGTGTGCGTGGGCGAGAGTGCACACGCTGTGCGCTTAATTTCTCAATAATAAGAACCAACACAAGGCCAAAAATTTGCCTGATAAGCGGTTTCCATGGTCGGCACCACCCTGCACCCCTACCGGGGGAATTCCCTCCGGTATGTCCTCCGGCTTGCTCAACCCATTCACGCCTTACGGCAAGAAGCCCGGAGTCGAACCTGTAGCCGATAAAACCAAATGCACAGTGGGGGGAGTTCCGGGCGGGAGGAGACAAAACTCAGACATTTTATTGGCCTGGCCCGAAAAGGGCAAAAACCAGCTGGCTGAGGTACGGCAACGCCTTCTGTGGTGCTATGCAATGGAAATAATAATGGCGCCCAACTGTGAGCTGCATTTGAAGTCCCGTTGAGTGTGGGCCAATTAAAGAAACCAAAAAAAAAAGTAAAATAAAAAAAGAAGGCAAAGCAACAGCAAAGTGTGAGAAAAATTAAACTTTCAATTGCTTTTTAAAGTCGATTGAGGCGCCCATTGAAATTATACTCGGGGCGGGCGGGCCACACTCCCCAACCTTTCAACGCTCTCCGCTTCCGACGCTTGATTTCTTTCCATATAATAATTGCATACTTTGTGGTTGCGGTGGGTGAAGCATAAGATCCTGCAAAGGACTGTAAGGAATGGAGAAGGACCCAAAGAAGGAGCCAGTATTTACACTCAAAGTTTGCGTGTTAAGTGGTTAAATTAATTGCTCGGAATGGTTTCAATGCTTTTCAAATTTTAGTGGCCAATCGAGAATGTTGAAAAGCATAATGACGCCAAGATGGTTATTATTTAAGGACTCGGGCATTTGTAAGAGAATATTTCATGAATAACCATTTCATAAAAATCATAGCAATCAAACAAATATTTTTTTAAATTTTTTTGCCTGATTTTTCCATGTAATCCTATTAAAATAACAATCCAATCAACTCTCAACTAAACCAATGCAACACAAAATTGAATTCCTAGTGCATTTTTGTAAACTACATTAAAAACAAAAATACTTGTTGTATTTACTCAAAATATTTATATTATCAACTCTAAATATTTTTATTTTAATGGATTTTAAAACCAACAATAAATTTAATTTAAAAAGAGCTTTTTTATGGACCTTCCCTAGCATCCATCTTTCATCTTTTTTATTAGTAATTCGCGTTACTGGTTACTGCTTTGGCTTTACTCCCTTAATATTTTCTCGTTAACCATTTTTTGTGGTTTTTTGACGTCGATCCAGCTCGCAATCCCTGGCAAACAAGCAAAAGTTATAATTTGCCATATAGACACATGCATTAGCGATGCGTGGAGGAGTAGTGGTTGAGTGGCAAGTGGCGGTAGGGTGCAGGGAGCATGTTTTTCCACGCGAAATTGCTCGGAAGTAATTTTGTTTACCTTTTATTTCGCGGTAATTGTTTGCATATGCAGCTGACAAAATTGTCCACCAATGGATAAAGAAAACACACAGCCCCCGGGCCAAGGGCGCTGGTACGCAACGCTGAAGTTGCAAGCAGCGACCTCCTCGCCAAGCGCTCCACCCACCCACCCATACACCAAATAGCCTGGAGGAGCACGCCCTGTGGCAGCTACTTTGACCGACTTTGGGGCAAACAGGTAACAGACAACAAGAGGCGGAAGTGCGTGCGCGAGATAGCTAAAAAGCTTTTTACCTCACACACTCGCCCGGTACTCGTGCCCCTTGGTGTGGCAAGTGGTAATGGTGTGGAGTGGAGTATAGTGGTTTTCCCAGGACTACACGCTAACTAAAATACTCTTTCAGGTTGAAGAATTAGTGGGGACTATCCTTTAATTGTGGATCATGCAGTAAAACCTCTATTAAAAATTAAATATATGAATTAAACAGAAAGATCTATTATGTACATAGTACATAATACATATCATAGTTCTTTAATGTCGAATATTTAAATCGAAAGTTCAATACCCAAAATATAATTTTGTTTAAATTCAAACAATTGAACACAATTTTATTTATAAAGGGTAAAAATCTAATAACAGAGAGAATTCTGATAAGAAGAGCTCCTTACTCTT